GACTTTTCCCGGTATCAAAGCCTTCCAGCAGCTTCTTTCCTGCACTCTTGATGGAAACCAACAAGCTCACCAAAATCCCCAAGGCCTGTACCATCTGGGTCCTTCTCCAAACCTGATTTCCTCCCTTTCTCCTTTCTCTTGCTGTGGCTCCTCCAGTCTGCTTGCTGGCTCAGGAACCCAAAATCTCAGGGTCTTTGCCCTTGCTCCTTCATACATTCACTTTGTCACTTTGTTCAGTCTTTGCTCAAACGTCACTTCCTCAGGAAGCCTTCCTTGACTACTCTGTATCAAACAGCATCCCAACTGCCCCATACAATGCACTGTACCCACACCCTACTTCTTCATAACAGGTCCCACTACCTGACATTTTATTCTGTACTTATTTGTTTTTTGTTACTCTCTCTCTCTCCTGCACCTCCCAGCAACTAGTATCTGCTTTCCAGGGTGATTTCCTGCCTCCCCAACCCACAGAACATTTCCACCTCTAACTTCACCAATGTCTGCATTCACTTTTGAGCCTCAGGCCTGCCAGGAACCCTTGTACTTTACTTCGAGAGTTTGATGAGGGATCAGCAGACTCTGGGAGGGAAGGGACCTCTTCTTATCCACTTCCTGATCAGCACTCTTGTCAGAAGAGAAATGCCCAAACCCCATGGCTGGAAGGTCAACATATAGTTGGGGGAATCCCTTTAACAGGCATCCTATCTTCCAACTGGTCCAGCAGTGCCAGCCATGGAGCAGAGGGGCCCAACTAAAATATGGGGTGGGGTGACCACTCCCAGGGGCCATTAATGGGAGGTGATGCAATTGCTTCTAGGGCCCAGTCTATGTGCTACACAAACAGCATGAACTCTGAGAAGGGGGCCAGCCAGGCATAAATCTGTCAGGCTGGACTTTCCTGATCAATGGGTCTCCTTGGTTGCTAAGAGGCTCATCACATGCTGACACTACCGTCGAATCTTTGAAAGTCAGAGGCATAAATTCTTCAGTGAAATCTGTTCCCGGAAGGAATGTGGCACCAACACTTCTGATTCAGTGAGGGGTGTTGGGAGGATGGGGCTGTGTTCTGCCTTCTCCTGGCCCTTCCCTCCCTGCGAACACACACTACCCACTTTCCACCCTGAGGTCCTTTGGCTAGAGCATGGGCAATTCTGACCAGACTCCTAGGAGTATGTTTAGTGTCTTGGAAAAATGTCGGGAAAGGAAGCAAGAGGAGAGAACACTGTGGCTGAAGTCAGGTTTTGTTTATGGAGACGCAAATGGCCTTAGAAAAGTCCAGCAGGGTCAGTACCAATGCCCACAGAGCAGAGAGATGGTGTAGCAACTATCCCCCAGGCACAAAAAAGGAACTCTCTTTATAAGAAGAGACACTCCAGACTTTCTCTCAGTATCAGGCCTCCTCTAGAAACCGCAGACAGATTGCACTTCTCAAACATCCATCTGTGCCGTTTCTCCAGCTCCATCCTCCACGTAAAGTCAAGGACACCTGAGCACCCACTTCCCTCTCCAGCCTAGGTCTGTCTGTCTCCAACCCCACCAATCTCCCCAAATCCAGTCTCTCTATAGGTGGCACCTCCAACTCTCCCTTTTGGGGGCTAGAGCCTGGGCCCTACTGGTTCTCACCTCCCAGTCTTCCCAGGAAAGGAGAACGTGAGGCTTCTGAGAGCCTGAGTGTCTGCCTCCTTATGCATGGATAAGCTGGAAGAGCTGTGGAGAGAATGTGTCTCCAAAGGTCGTCCTGTACTGAAGAAGACAATGGAAAGCAGTGGGAATGCCCCCTTTCCTTGCCTGACCTGGTCTCACTTCTCTGAGTTAGGTCTCTGTACTTTTAATCCTCTTTCCAGGACCTTCAGTTTTCTGAGTAATTTTTGGTCCCCAGGAAACGCTTCCAAAGCTCTCCCTCCTGTACTCTTAGAGAAGACAGGAGACCTGAGAGATGTCACAGCCAAATGCTACACATGGACTGTGTTTAGATCCCAATTTGAACAAACCATGCACCACAACAGGACAGCCTCGAGAAAAGTGGGGACATGGGAACATAAAATATCTATTCACACGATATCAAGGAATGATTCTTGCTTTTGTCAGGTGTGATAACGGTACAAGAGTAGCATTAAAAAGAAAGTGCTTAGAAATTCATGCTGAAGATGAGTGAAATAAATAAGTCTAAAGTTTGCTTTCAGATAGTGCAGAAACAGCAGAGTGCAGGTAACATGGGAGATCACTGGCCATGACTAGCTCACTGCTGCAGCTGGGCAAGAGGTATCTGGAATTCACTATACCATTCTGGATATTTGTGAAAATTTCCCATAACAAAAAGTTCAAAATGAAAACAGCCCTTCTCTTAAATCTCTGTAAATCTCCTCTTTTATCTCCATTTTACAGGTCCAGGCTCCTGACTCCAATCTGGGCTCATGCCCATCCCCCCCAAATTCTACATGGCCTCTTCTCCTCAGGCTACAGCTTGGGAAGGAGGTGTTGAGGGGGTGGGGTCCCTCCCTGAGAACACTTCTGCCCTCTGCTGCCCCTCTGACCCTTTCTTAGTCCAAATTCATCTCTACCATTTTCTGGAATACTGGGTACCTCTATTTATGACTCGGCATGGCCTTTCCCATCTCCTAGCTTGGTGGGGGGGTGGTACCATGGTTCCCATCTGTCCCAGACTGAGTGCTTTATTCAGGGGTTGTCTTGTCCTTATCTGTCACCTCCCTCCAGAGCCAGAGCACAATCAGTATTTGTCCCAAAGAACTGGTTCCTTCTGTTCCTCAAATATGCCCACTGCCGGGTCTCCTCTACGGGGCAAAGAATCTTCTCCATGGGCCAAGAGTTTCGCAGACAAAGGAGAAAAGGCCACGGACATTTCCAGAGACAGACAGTGGGGTTGGAAGCAGGCACACAGCCACCTCCCACACGGGCCAGCTATACTGTGTATCAGAGTGAGGTGGGGGTCACTGTCTTCATAATCACATATAGGGGAGGCTGGGCAGTGTGGGGAGAGGGCTCGTGGGGGAGACCAGCTTCTCCTGTCATTATCACTTCACTGTCACCTCCTGCTGCTGCAGACTCACCGGTTGCCATGCTATCTCCACCTTTCCCAACGCAAAGCTGAGCTATCACATGCCATGCACATTGGCCTCAGCCCGGGGGGACAGGTTCCTGCCTTCCCCAGGTGCCGACTTTCCAGCTTCCTTGGGAATCCGTAATCTGGAAGATGTCAGCCTCCCCTCCCCAATAGCCCAGCGTGGCCTTTGCACAACCGCTCAATACCTGGTGAATGAAAACTCCTCCTTCACGGCTGATAATGGCCTAGCAGTGCTCCCCAGGCCCGCCTCCCTCTATGTACCAGTGAAACATTCCTTTCCCGACACCCCCATCCGGCCACCGTCAGCCCTGTCCTGCCCTTGACTCCACTGTTAAAACGCCAGCTATGCCCAGGTGGCAGGGAACCCCGGGTCTCCTCTGGCTGGGCGTTCCACCATACTCCTTGGCCTCTCCCCTTGGCATCAAGTTCTGATGCCAAAGGGCGATAGGAGTCAGACTGGCCAGGTGACAGAGGAAGGTCACAGTCCCCTCTCATTTCCCTGAAAGACTTGGGGGCATTTCTCAGGTCATTTCGATTTGTGTTTACAAGCTCTTAGTTACAGAGAAGGGTCTGCTTATAAAACACCTAAATAATAAATAGCTACCAATGACCAGACATGAACCGAGAGAGGACAATTCCACGACTGTGAGGAAAACCACTTATAGTTCTGACTCCAGTCTGCAGATGACCAGCTGGCTGACTCCAGCCAGGTCTTGTTCTGTCATATGCTGTGAAATGAGGATGTCTGGTGGTTGGCCACTCAGTACCTCCCAGCACGAGCAGTGAGTGGCCGATGCCACGATTCTGGACTAACTACTTTTCCCTCCCTGTTCCCAGTCTCCTTCATTCAAATCAGCATCAACGCCTTACTCCTTTAGTGCATTTTATGTCGACCTTCACAAGGAAGTTTAACCTGAGTTACTCAACTGGGGACTTACTTTCCTTAGCAAATCTGGTTGTATGAGGTCAAGGTCTATTGACATGGCCAAAGGGACCTTTTTATAGTTGTAGTGTCTTATCTTACGGAAAATGAGTGCATTACATCTCAAGACAGGGCAAATAAGTTCTTGGAGAGACTGGAGACAGGTCACTTGTACCCAGTCTCCCAGGTAAGCCACAGGAAACAGGGCTTTGCTATCTTCCACTGATTCCAAATACACACTTTTGCGTCTCCGAAATCAGGATTTCTCTTCAAACCAATGGCATCATATCATTACTGTCGGTCCGAAGTGAAGGCAGCTGTTCCAGGAGATAACCACACCGCTTCTGCCAGACCTCAGGGGTCCCCCAACCTCAGACCATGTGACATCAAATTCTCTGCTTGAGGTTCATTCAGATCACACCGATTGGGCAAATACAGAAAGTACCCCTACGCGAGGACCACCCATCTGGGCTCTTCTTCTCTAGCATTAAGAATGAAACACACGGGGGTGCCTGGGTGGCTCAGTGGGTTAAAGCCTCTGCCTTCGGCTCAGGTCATGATCTCAGGGTCCTGAGATCGAGCCCCGCATCGGGCTCTCTGCTCAGCAGGGAGCCTGCTTCCTTCTCTCTCTCTGCCTGTCTCTCTGCCTACTTGCGATCTCTGTCTGTCAAATAAATAAAATCTTAAAAAAAAAAAAACAAAAAAGAATGAAACACACATTTCCTTGCTTTCCCTTTTTGCACGATGGCTTTATTTCTGCTTGCCCTCTCAGGGAGGGTGTCCCGGCTTTGGTGGGGAGGTCAGGCGGTCTCCTATCACACCTGGCTTTTTTCTTTCTTATTTTTGGTATGTAAAATAACAATGCATCGTATATTTGATGAAAATATGGTTTCTTACATTTGATGGAAACTGTTTCTGTTATAAATATTATATGTGATATTTGAAATGATCTAGCATGATAATGGAAACAGAGGTAGGTTTGCATGGGGTCAAAAATCTCATGTCTCGCCCCAAACCACTTGCCCTCTGTGCCACTATTGGCCATCCCCTCCCCCACCCAGCTCTGCAGGCTGTTGACTAGCCTGGCATCCATCATGGATCCCCAAGACTCTTAGGACGAAGGCAGAGCTCTTAAATCTGGCAAAGTACTACTGGTCATGCCTTCTCTCCAGCCACATCTACACCATCTACCCACCCTATCCTCTCCCTTCCAGCTTCCATGCCCTCTCCACCACCGAGCCCTGGCCCTGACAGCTCTGTTGTCAGGAAACTTCTTTCTCCCTGTTTTGCTCCCCAGACCTCGCCTCCAGCATCACCACCTCAGGGAGGCCTTCCCCAACTAGATCAAACCCCACTACTGGCTACGCACATTTCTTTCATAGCATGTGTTCCACATGCAGTCTTGCACTTGTAGAATGTTCTTGATTAATGTGGGAATCCTTTACCTGACTGTGAACTCCATGAAGGCAGGAGACGAGCCTGTTTTTACTCAACATTGTAACCCCAGTGCCAACCAAGTGACTGGCAGTTGGCACGTGCTCAAACATTATTTGTCAATAGATGCTTGGGTGACCCTGGGCATCTCTGCTCTGGAAGCAGAGAGTAAACTCCTGGAGCCGGGGGCGGTTCCCACTGACTGTGGCCTTGGGCAAGTCAACCTCTCTGTTTCCATATCTCCAAATTGGGAATAACACTTATCCTGCCTATCTGACAAGGGTGTTTTGTGAGTCTGTAAAGTCACTTTGAAATGATACCATCTGGTCCCTCACCCCCAAGCTTCTAGCCCAGTGCTGGGCCCACACTCCACCACGCTCTGTCCCTATAAGCTGGCTGACCGGCTCCTCCAGGGAGATGACCTCACACAGTCCTCAGGGAGGTGTGCTCAAAGCTTGGGGTCAAGAGGGGACCCCTGAGCTTGTGCTTCCCAATCTTAAACTCTCAGAGTTTCTCAGCCCTTTCAGGGCCCCAATGCCCTAAGTACATAAGAAAAGGGACCTTCTTGTCGATTGCTTTTGGTCTTCATTCCTAAAACAAGGTTGGGACCTTTGGCCAGAAGGGGGAAAGGGGGGAAGGGGGAGATGCTGCCCCTTGCCTCCTGCTTGGCACACTGATCTGCAGACAGGGACAGGGCTGGATGGGAACAGCAAACAGCACCCTTCAGGACCCACTTCTTGGGACAATCATCTAAAGGTATGGGGCATTCTACTCTACCGGGCAGAATACATGAACTAGATGAAGTTGTTAACTTTACCTCTGGAGCTGAACATTACTGTGAAGGTGGACACTTACAGCAAAGTCTCACTATTGCTTCCCATAGACCTCATCTGAGGGTCTGTCTTCCTGTATCAACCAGCTATGAAAGACCTTGAGGATGTCACTTTCCCTCTCTGTATCAATTTCCTCACAGTTACGTGGAAACAATAGTAACAACAATGCTACTACCACCCACCTTCCTGCTCACAGAGTTCTTTTAAACATCAAAGACGTAAGTGCTCCTAAGTGAAAAGTCAGTGCCAGTAAAAGGTAATATTTTCTCCATGCATTTTAAATCCCTCCTTCCATAGCAGGAAAGCAGCACACTGGCTTATTGTTATCCCTAAGTTAAGGCAAAGATTCCTCAAGGTCTGCAGTCCCTAAGGCACAGAGGTGGGAAGTGAGATGCGAATGAATCCAAGATCACAAATCAATTCTCGAGCATCCCCCTAGGGCCAGCCATCCTCCCTCCATTGCGGAGGGGTATTGACTCGCAATTGTTTCAACAGCCTGGCCTCTCTGCCAGCCACCCTTCCAGAAATCCAGGCTGGTGAGAGGAGGTGCAAAAGGAATAACTAGCTAGCACCTTCCTGATTCTGGATCTTGTGAAGGGGGTGGAAGGCTCTGCTACAGACACACACCCAGAGGGCTAATTCTAGCTGACATCCTGGCAGGGTGCTCAGAGGCATGCTTCTGCAAATCCTCCGGGATGCATCACGGACTAGATTCTGGTACTCAGGGCTTCAGGCTGGCCAAGGCTTCCTTGCCGGCTGATCTGTCGAGCAGCCCCACTAGGGACTCCCTGGTATCCCTGTGGAACATGGAGCCCAGGCCATCTGTGTTCTTATCCTCCAGCTGGAAGCTGCCTGCCAGTTCCTGGATCCACTGTAGGTCTGCTGAGAGCTCCTGCCTTAAAGCTTCAAACTGTGTCTGAAGATGGTCCAATTTCCTGGCCATGCTTCCGAGGCCGGCCCCTGTGGCCTGGAGGTCTTCTCGAAGGAGCTTCTTCAAGGACTCCACTTTGCGGAACTCATACTTGAGCTGGGATAGGTCGTGCCGGGCATTCTCGCTCTCCTCTCGGTACCAAGCTTCCTTCTCGTTGTATATGGAGACTAGGGCCTCCACGTCATCCTGGATGGTGTTGTGGGTCCCTGCCAGGGTATGGCAGCCCTGGTCGACCTGTGCCACGTCCTCTACTACACGGGCGAAACGCTCGAAGTTGACGTATGTGTTATTGGGGGGCATGCTCGAGTGGCATTTGAGGGTGTACTCTCTCAGGCGCTTGGTCTTCAGCTGGGTGGGCTCTGTCTTCTGCTGTTCCTGGGCTCTGACTTCTCCTTTGGACTAGTGGGTGTTTGGATAGAACAGCCAGAATTAAGTTGATGCCCAATCCAAAGGGCAGTTCAAGGTGCAGGCAGAAGGCACACAAGCAGCCTTGTAGTCATTTGCTGCATGCATCAGGCCACAGGGAGGACCACGGTGGGATGAGCATCCCCACGGACAATGACAAAGATTCAAGACCACAGGGGTGCTGCCCACATGCTCACCTCAGGGCTGGGGGGACAGGGATCTATGGCCATTAGAGAAGGTCTCCACACACATAGCATTGAGGGAGCTCACACAGACAAGCAGGTGATAGTCAGAACTCTGCAGGCATCCGCTCAAAGGCAGGAGCAGACAAGGCCATGGCTGACTGAGGGAGGCTGAGGGACTGCGCTCCTTCAGGGCTGGCTGGCATGCTGGGTCTCAGCAACTTGGTACACTAAGCCCGAGGAACTTTCTCACTCTGGGCTCAGGGCCCACTCCAAACCTAGAGGGCCCTTGGCCTTCCCCATCCTTTAATGGGCAGATGAACCTACTCCAAAGCATTCCAGCCCTCCCTGACCTCCATCTTCCACAGGACCTACCCTTGCCCGTCTGCTTGCTCAGATCATCCTAGCCTCTCCTTGAGATCCAGATGAGTGGGACATCTGGTGATGCCCAGGGAGTGCGCATCTCATCAGTTGGCAGAAGTAGGGCCATAATCCTGGTCTCCTGATTTGCACCCCAACAAAGTGGGGTTTTTTTGTTTGTTTGTTTGTTTGTTTGTTTGTTTTTATAAGTAATCTCTACACCCAGTGTGGGGCTTGAAGGCTTGAACTCCCAAACCCAAGGTCAAGAGTCACATGCTCTATACCTGAGCCAGTCAGACATTCCTGGGCAAAGTGCTTTTAACTAGTATTTTACTGTAATGTGCCTAGAAAGCAAGACCCTCCCCAGACTAGTGGCTGGAAGGCCAGTTACAACACAGGTTAGGTGGGGCGTCACCTTCGCGCCCCCACCTCCCCAGAGGGAACAGCCTTGCACTGAGGATGACTGCCTGTCCTCCACACTAGGCTGCCATCTCCGAGCCCTGTCCCCTAAGGTTTCAAGGCGCAGGAGAAAGCTGGCTGACTGGTCAGCATGTCATCCTTTACTCAGAGCCCCGAAAGTCAGAAAGAAAGAGGTTTGGTTACAGAATTGAGGTTTCTAATTGTCTTTGCTTTCTCTCTACAACTTGGGAGTCCTGATTTCTGCTTTGAGAATGACAGTGACATGTCCTCCAAGAAAGCACACTTTGTAAGACAGCCCCAAAGATAAAGTGTTTCAAGGGAGGTTTGTGAAGGCTTCATTTCATAAGTCACCCGAACTTGTGAAATATTAACTTAAACCTATGAACCTATTTGAGCAAACCCAGACTATTTAGCACCCCTGCCTGGCTTTCCTCTATCTATGCCCAAGGGTGGGTGTTTCTAGCAAAGGTCTTCCCATGGGCCCTCTGCATCTGGCCACCCCACCTGGCCCTGGCGATGGATTGCGGACCTCCTCCTGACTGGCACTCCACACCATGCCCTTACCGTGATCCAGGGGTGTCGGAGAGCCTCTTGGATTGTGAGCCGTTTCCTGCAATGAGGATCAGAAAACAGTGACGATCCAGGAGGACAGAAGCTGAGAGCAACGGTCTCCATCTTCACTCTTTGTTAGACCAGCCCTGTGGCATTCTTTGACCACTGCCATTGAACCAGAATGATGAGGAACGCAGAGCTGGTTGGGGAACTGGTTGAACTCCCTGCATTCCAGACAAAGTGGTCCAGGCAGACCCCCTCCGTAGAGTGACAGTATATAAACCCTCATCTTTGGCCGCAAACTCAAAGGGCCTAACAACACACTCTATGAGACTCACAAGTGCTCTTGTGAGCTGAGTTCTACACAGACCACTAAGCCTCTGTGCTATTCTATTTGCTTCTCAGATCCCTTCTCAGCCCTTCCCTGCTCTGGTAGGGATCTGAACTAGCACTGCCATTCGATGGGGAAACCAGGACCCTACTCTTTTGAGGACCCCATTCTGGCTCTCTCTGAAGTCTGTGGGACCAAGAGGACATGGCCTTCTAGAATCTGTAGATCTCATTCCTGTCCCATCTAGTCCATGCTCTGGGTACCCAGCATCTTACCATTCCCTGCCCACCTCCTGCTTTGACTCTGTAGCTACAGGGCTCTCCCTAGGCCCTAAGAAGGGGTAGGATTAGCATGTCTCCTATTTTCCCACTTACTGACACCTCTGAGTCCGCCTCCCCCCCCAACTCCCATCTGGATTGGTTTAGAAACTCTGCCACTTCCTTTTTCAAATCCTAGTTCTAGGTGCCTTTGGGACAGACTGGAAAACATAATGTGCCCTAGAGAAATGCAGGCTGACTTCCAAACACATGTGTGTACGTGCATGCACACACACACACACACACACACACACACACACACACACACACGCACACAGACTTATTTGTATTTTGGCAGGAAAGAAAGCAGAAAGACCTGAGCAAGCAAGATGAATGCCAAGTCTCAGCTAATCCACGCTTCTCAGCACTTGCCCAGATTAGACAACGGTGGTGAATGTGGCAGCCCGTGGCAAAGTAGGGACAGACTGACATGTCTTCAGGAGAGGGGACAGGAGAAGATCAGTACCTCAGAAACCCATGCCTTTCTCTGTTATCTTACCGGGTCTCTTTAACCAGAAGCTTCCGAATGAAGTCCTTGGCCAGCTCGCTGGTCTGGCCGAAGAATTCCTCGTCAAAGTCATAACTCACGGCTGTGATATTTGCTAGCGTTTCCTGCTTCGTGTCTCCCAGGAAAGGAGATGCTCCACTTAGTCTGAATACAGAGAGAGGGAATGTGTGACTACTGTAGGTGAGTAGAGGGAGTCAGGGCTGAGGGAGTGAGGGAACCCTGACTCATACTATTGCATGGGGATGGGAAACTGCCGGAGGCATCAGCTGCCCCCTCTGGGCAGCCAGTCAGCACTTTCTCGACTAACTGAGTCCGACTCAATCTACTTCATGGAGCTCCCAGTAAGTACGTGATAGAAATGTGTCCCAGGAACTTGGAAGAGGAGGGGAGAAAACACAGCGAAGACTCTTCATAATCTCAACAGAATAAAACAGAATATAACAGAAGACCAGACGAAGGTCTGGGGGGAGCACAGGACAGAGGGGACACCCAGTGCAGGCTCCACGGCGGAGCTGACATTAGTATCAGCTGTGTCTTGAAGAATGAAGAGGTTGTCAGCAGTCAGGGGAGATGAAGTCTTCTAGACTAAGGGAGCAGCCTGAGCCAAGCCTGAGAGGTGTGGAAACAGATGGGCCATTAGGGCGGGAAGGGTATGTGAGGTTCCTCTGCAGGGTTTGTCAAGAATGTGTCATTCAGATAGTGACTCCCAAATCTACTGTTTCCTGACTCATATTCCAGCTTATGGGATATGTCTCCCTAGATGTGTCATTGTCACTGTGCCCTAAGCTCCCTCCATGAGCTCCCTGCCTTGATGAATGATGTCACTCCACAGATACTCCCAAGCTAGAACACAGGGCTCACCTCTGACCCGCCCATCCCTTTCCTCACCACATCTAACCAGCCTCAAACTCTTATTGGTTTTACCTACTAAATATTTCCTGAAGGCCATCCCTATCCCCACTGTCACTTTCTTGGCACAATGGCAGCAAGGTGCACTGGGAAAATTTTGCTATTCCAGACCTGGATTTGAATCTCAGCTCCACTACTCAATAGCTATGTGAACCTAGGTAAGTTATACAACCTCTCTGTGCTGCAGTTTCCTTCTCCATAAAATGAAGAAAATAAAAGCCTCCACTTCACATGATTGTTACAAAGAATAAATAATACGCTGACAATGCTCCAGGCAGTCTTGCCCATACTAAGTGCTCTGGAATCAGTGGCCATGATTTCTGTCTTTGAACACAAAGAACCTTCTATGTCTCCCCATTTTCTACAGGATCACATCTAAACTCCTGAACAGGACATCAGAAGTTAGTCCCTACCACCTCCTCAGTACACTTCACCACACTTACCAGGCACACTGTTTCCTTCCTCAGCAGACAGCCCTTCCCTCCCTTTCCACCTGGAGAATTAATCTCATTCTGTATAGCCCAGCTCAAATGAATCTGTCTCTCCCTCATTAAATCTTCCACAGCCCCAGCAAACCAGTGCCTCTCCCAGCTATGTCTCACAGAGGCGTGTTCATACACCCAGAGTGACTTTGGTCCCACTGAGTGCGACTTAGCTGTGTGGTGTCTCTCCCGACACGGGAAGCTCCAGGCAAGCAGGGCAGACCTCCTTCATGGCAGCATCCTGAGTGCCTGGCCCAGAGCCCACCATGGAGCAGGCACCCAAGAAACAAGAAACTGTGTGGGACTCAAATGAGCTGCAAGAAGGCTATGTGCCTGGTACACACTCAAATTCCTCAATATTTCAGTATGGAAATCAGAGTTTTGAAAAAAAAAAATCAAGGTTTCAAGAGCTGCGCAGAATCTGGAAACATGGAGCAATGGATCCAGTTCTCCTCTGTGTCCAGTTCCTCTGGGGCTTTTCAAAAATACTGATCCCTAGGGACTCCTGGGTGGCTCAGTCCATTAAGTGTCTGACTCTGGATTTCGGCTCAGGTGATTATCTCGGGGTCCTGGGATGGAGCCTTGTGTGGGGCTCTGTGCTCAGCTGGGAGTCTGCTTGAGTCTCTCTCCTCCTCCTCTACCCTCCCTTCCCCCACTTGTGCTCTCTCTGTCTCTCTCTAAAGAGAAATAAATAAACCTTTAAAAAAAAACCTGATTAAAAAATACTGATGCCCAGACCCCATCCCTAGCAATTCTGATGTAATAGCTCTGCAGGGGGTTGAGGGCAGTGGTAGGTATTACAAGGTCTAATGTGCAGCCAGGATCGCGACCCTCCACATTGTACAGAGCTCCCAGTCTGTGGGCTGCTGGAAAAGTCAGAGAACTGGTGGACAGGGGTTCTGGATGCTAACGCCCCCACATCACCTCTGGCAGCCGCTAGACTCTGACCCAGTGTGCCCTAAAAATAGCACGTCCCAGGTGCGTGGTCAGGGGCAAAGTGTGGGAAAGCCCCGCTGGAATGAAGACCTACTAATCAGCCAGAGCTGCCCGGGGAGTTTGCATGTGTCCGCTTCCTTAACCCGCACAGCACACCCGCAGGCAGGAAGTTTGAGATTCCTATTTTCCTGAGGAGGAAAACAGGACCAGAGGTTAAGTATCTGCCCAAGGCCACACAGATCGAAAGTGGCAGGTTCCCTGCATGTGGGCTACACAGGAAATGACTGCTTGAGCAACTTCATACTTTGGGGCTGGGAATGAGGCTCTGGGGAGAAACGAGAGAGGCTGTGAGAGCCGGGGAAGGCAGGGGAGACCGGGGAGAAAGACTCGGGGTCAGGGAAGGCATGGCCGCCAGAGGGCTGGACCAAGGCTTCTGGGTGAAAGCTGACTTTCTCACGGACATGCAGCCCGGGTGAGGCCGAGCGGGGGATGCTGGGAGGCAGTGGAGATAGGGACAAGGCTCAGCCTCCACGCTGGGGCCAAGCATCTGAATCGGAGCTGAGAGCACAGACCACGAGGTGTGAGGTGGGGATCGAACACATCTGGCTCAAAATAAATGAGTAAATGGGGAAAATCATTAAATTCAGTCTGCCTGTCTGCCTGTCCCTCTCTGAGTCCTCCCTGGTCCCCTCGATCCAAGCGAGGTCGGGGTCCCGGCATCAGAGATACTTACAGGATGTAGGTGATGACGCCTATGCTCCTGCAAAACAAAGAACAGGCCAGTCAGAGCCATGCGGCTCTGACCCCAGCCCAGCAAGGGACTCCCCTGCACGGTCCCCAGGGGATGTGGTCACCTGCCCCTTCATGGAGGCCTAAAGATGCCATCTCAAGTCCATGGCCCTCTCAGTCCCACTCTTCAGCAGCAGCCTGGGATGTGTGTGGAGTCACTGAGCTCTGGACATTCAGGCTAAGGACCCAAGTTCAGACTCCTGAACTGGCAGGCTGTGACTGGGTAAGTCCCTTATCGTCTCTGAGCCTCTTTCTCCTCATAAAAGGAGCATAATAACTACCTCACAAAACTCTGGAAGGATTTTAGAAAACCAGGCAATCAAGGTACTTGGCCCCTATCAGGCACTGTTGAGTGAAATGAGTTCTGTCTGTGCAGAAAATCCTCTACAGTAGCCCTGGGCCCCACACCGTGGTTAGAGCCTAAGAGGCTCTGGGCAGTCACTTGGTTGATTAACAGAATGAGCTATTGTTACTATTTCTTTATAATGACTACGCCAGGCCTCAGGGCTGAGCCTGCACCTGCAGCCTCGCCTCTCCCCTTGTCCCTGCCTCGGCCATGTTCTAAGTGGCCTCAGGTCTGGGCCTGGCTGCCTCCAGCTGCCAGGGCCGTGGGTCCAGCACACATGGAGCAGCCAGAGGCTCTGAATGTGTGGAGAAAGGGGTTTTCATGGTCGAGGGGGATGTCAGCCAGAGCCGGGGTCTGAGGCCTGCTGACCTTGAAAGAATCCCTAAGGCACTTAGGTGGCCTGCACAACTTACCACATGTCAGCCTCCAGTCCCAGGGGCTCGTAGTTCACAATTTCTGGAGCTGAAAGAAGCCAGATTGAAGAATCAGCAGGAGAATGAAGATGAGAAGATAATGCTAGAGAGAATTTTAGGGTGTTTGGTGACAAATGTCTCCCTCCTGAATCCTCACTAAGGAAAAATCAGAGCAACAGATGGAGATAATTCTGGGTCTAAGAATCTTGAGAATTGAAGTTGCCTGTTATTCTGGTGGGAAGCTCTTACACAGAGGCCTTGATGCTGGTGGAGAGGAACACCCTGAAGAGGAAGCGCAGGGTAGCGTGAGGAAGATGCAGGAAGGGGAAATGGGGCCTAGCAACAAGGCCTGCTCCAGAACTCTCTGGTGGAAACCAGGCAGGTCAGCACTGGAAGGTGATAATGAAGAAAAGAAGGCAGAAAGGGAATCCAAATCCCTGAGTCTGGTCTGAAAGAGGGGTACCTCCCTACTGAGGAGAATGAAGACATTCTGGGGCCAATGAGATAATGAGCCTGAGGTGCCCCAGGGACATCCAGACAAAGATGTCCTGGGAACAGGAGAGGGAGGCAGAGCCGTCAAATCTGAAGTCATTGTACAGGTGGAAACAGGAGATACGTGGATGATGTGGTGACCAGGAGTGGGTGCAGCGTCTAGGAAAGAAGATTCTACCCACCGCAGAAGAGGGCCGAGTGCTGCGTGAAGGTCAAACACACGAGCACTTGGAAAGTGAGTAGTGTCTAGAGAGTGATGGGATGGTAGACGTCGAGATAAGAGTGTAGATGACACCATAAAAAAAAGCTTGGCCATGAAATGGAGGAGAAAGAGAGGTGAGTAGCTAGAGAAGAGAGAAGGGCTGAGCCTGTCTGATCATAATGGAAAAAAGGGAGAGAGCAGGAAAGGCTACGTTTGTTCATCTAGAACAACAGCAAACCCATGGCATCTATGGGGTGTGCCCACCTTCCCACCACTCTACTTCAAGACACAAGGAAACACTTTTCTGGCTCTGCTTATTTGTTAGCTTCTTAAAAATGATGTCTTACTGGATATGATGTAGTCACCTGCCCCCCCAACCTAACATTATGCTTCTAGCGTTCATTCAGGGTTCATCCGTGGTCTTTCTTTTTCACTGCTATGTAGTAGTCCACTGTGCGAACATATAGCGTCTTCTCCTCAGTGATCATTTGGATGGTTTCCACTTCTTTTCTCATCAGAACAACACTGTTATGAACTTTTTGCACACGTCGCCTCACAAACACGAAAGACTTCCTCTCGGACAGTGATTCAAGGGGCAGTCTGAAGACAGTCACTGGTCCAGACACAGTGGTACAAAAATTGGGAGTAAGCATTTAGAAACCCACAGAGCAACTTGACGTTGCCATGACATTCAAATTGTGATAATTTTTCTAGGGGTTTATTTTTCCAGTATCTTACTGAAAAAGCAGTCCCGGACAGATTGAAAACATTTTTTTTTTTTTTCAGTCTTTCACCACAGAGAGTTTGAGAAACACAACTCACTTTCCAGGCTTGTCTGCTTGATATGCATATACACTCAATTCTGTCCTCTGTGTGCTTTTATTGGTCCATTTTCTTCTGTGCTTTTCTTCTTCTTTCTTGTTTTTTTTTTCTTTGATAGTTTTTTAAATTAATTTTCCTATTGTTTCTTCCTCTACTTACATTTTTGTAATGGCCACCCTTGAGACTTTGGGATGGCTATCTAACAAATTCTAACATAAAGCAGTGTTTTGACCTTCTTCTAACAATACAAGAACCTTAAAACACTCATTTAAGCCCTCTGTCCTAACATAATTTTCTTCCATTTTTAGTTCTTTTTTTAACCCCACAAACATCATCATTATTTTAAACAGAAAATGTTTATATTTGTCCAATGTTTACTCATTTCTTTGCTCCTATTACTTCTTGCATTGAGACTTTCCCTCAAAAGGTCATTAATTCACAAGCACATCTTTGGTAGTTCCATTAATACATGCTTGTTGGTGGTTAATTATTTCATGGTTTGTCTTTCTTGTTGTTCACTTTTGATTTTTTGTTTTTTGCTGTGTTTTGTCTGAATCATTTACCCTCTTTCTTGAAATATAACATTCCTGGGTATGCAGTTAGGGGTCCTTTTTTTTTTTTTTTGAGTATGTAATTGACTTTATTAAGCAATTCATGAATCAATCAGCATCCCATCTAGCAAGTAAAGAGATGCTCCCTAATTACTGTTTTTTTTAAATTTTTCCTCAGTTCTTGGAAGATAATATTCTATTGGACATTGGTTTCCATTGTTGTTTTGAGAAGTATGCTGTCAGTCTAATTTTTTTAAAATTTGTATTGATTGATTGATTGATTGATTGGTGATCTGTCTTTTCTCTCTGGCTGCTTTTAAGATCTCTTTGTCTTTGGTACCTTATAGTTTAACTGTAATGTCAACTATAGTATAACTATAATGGATTTATTTTTATTGTTTTCTGTTCGATATACATTGTCCTTTCTGTAGCTGGGCGTGCATGATTTTACAACACTTCTGGAAATTCTCAGCCATTTTCTTCAAATGCTGCTCCTCTTTTGTCTTCATTCCCTCCTCTGGGATTCCAAACAGACCTATGTTAGTTAAGCTTTCCATTTTTACCCTCTTACACTTGTCCTCTATTTCATATTTTCATGTCTTTGTCCTTTGGTGGTATTGTAGTTAATTATTTTTCAGCTCTGCCTTTCAATTCTTCAATTTTCTCTTTAGCAGTGTAAACCTTCTGTGTAACTCATTCACTGAATTTTAAATTTCTAGGAGTATATGTTAAATCTCTCAAATTTCTATCTGGTTCTTTCTAGAATTTGCCTGTTCATTTTTGACAGCCTCTTGTTGCTCATTCTTGTGTTTCTTTTATTTCTATATACATTCCATTTATTTTATAGTCAACCCGTGATAATCTCAGTATCTTATGTCCTCAGATGTCTAAGTCTTGCTGGTCTCTCATTGAAATGCTGATAAGCACCTTTGGGAGAGGTCCTCCTACTGAATTCCTCTTTGGCTCCCAGACCCAGCTCTAAGTTCATTTCACTGGCTTTGGAGGTGGGGTTAGTTGTGCTGGAGGAGTTACTACACTTAAACACTTCTCTTATTTGCTATGAGTCCAGAATTTCCTTAAAAAGAATATTTTCCTCAAGAATCCAGTTTTGTAGCAGGAAGGCTTTTGGAAGACTGGATCCACTACACTCCTAGAGGCTGACTAGTTACTTTTCAACACTGTGTCTCAGGTTCAAATTTCAAAGGAATGGCGGGAGGAGGACAAGTGATTATAACCTTACTTCTCAGGAGTCCTAAGTAAAGAAAGTCATTCTAATTTGGACACGGACCTAGAAAAATCACCCTATATATCTGTAAGGTACAAACAAAACCATTTCTGGGCTAGAGCTGGGTCATATGGGCTCACCAGAGTCAACTGTGGGCATCTTTTTCCAACTCTGAATTCAGTGACCGGTTAAAATTGGTAGCTTAAAATTGGTAGCTTAAAATTGGCAAATGCTATAAATTAGGGTTGTGTTTTGTGTTGAGACCCAGTTATTAGACATTTAACAGCATAGCAGTGGAAAAAACCCTCCACAGTTTGGCCTACTCGTCAATATCCCACTCACATGGCTAGTCTGATGCGAACTTCCTACTCCATCCAGAGTGGACAGTGAACCATCCCCAATAAATGCACTAATTCTGGCCCTACGCCCTGCTATAAACGACTGAACCTGGGATGTGCTCCTCCTCTACCCTGACTCTGTCCCCATCCCTCTTCAGACACTTCTCTCATCCATAACACCAGCCCTTTGTCTCTGTTTGACTCAAGGGCATGACTGATCCCACTGACTCTGCCAGAGTGGACATCTTATTTGAACAGGCTTCCAGAGATAACTCCATCATTCACTTTATAATTAATCATATGCTGTCTTGTGTCACTTCTTCCACTCTTGCCCTGAATTTCTAGCTGAACCATTTACTGTTGATTAACACTTGGTCTGAATTTAACCAAGTACATATACGCATTTTACCACACACGTGAATAGAGGACAGCAACTGCTATCTTGGACAAAGTTCAAGAATGGTTGTCTTGTGCCCCGGGTTCAAGTTGATTGTGCCACCAGCTCATTGTGTGACCTTGGATGTGTCATTCTGAGTGTGCCTCCTTGCCATCACTGTGTCCCCAGTATCTCACCAAACATCTGTCATAAAGTAGATGAAGAATAACCATTGGTTGACCTCAACTGACATCCCGTAGCCTTCCAATTCTACACTTGTTAAACTGATGACCCAAACAGATCCTTCTAGCACTGTTACTTGGTGGTTTGATGTCTTATTTCAACAACTAAATTGCACGCCCCCCTGGGGGCAAGATCTTTTTAGAAAGACAACCCAGTGTAACCAAAAGAGCACAGGCTTTGATGTTAGATGTATCTACATTTGAATCTTAGCTTTACAACCTACTCGTTGTTTTGCCATGAACAAAGCATTTGATAGAGAAAATAATTAAATCTGCTTTATGAGGTTGTTTGAAGATTAACTGAGATAATGTTTGTAGGACCCCCAGCATAGTGCCTGGCACACAGCAATGTTCCCCTACCCTGGGGTCTCTGGGTCCTTGACAGCACCCTTCTAGAAGAGCGTAGCACTGGCATGTGTGACCCGAAAATCCAGCAGAAGGGATGATCTGACACATTCTGTTTTCCTGTTTTCCTCCTGATTAGATTGTGGTCAGAAGTTTCCGCCTCCAGGTTTTGGGGAGACCATGCCCTCCCTCCATTTCCAAGACCACTCCATCTCCCAAAGCAGAGAGAGACAGTGGTCCTCGATTCTCATTCCTCTCCCCTCTTCAAGGCTGCCTCTCTAGGACCCCCAACCTGCACAGTCCCAGTCCCATGAGGGGGCTTCTGGGGCCTGAGCCAAGGCTGAGAGAATGAGAGGGAAGACACAGCTGCACGAATAAAGGCCAGGCACACAGGAGAGGTGAGTGGGTGGATCTGGCATTTGGCAGATGATTTCCCTTTTCCTTTTCAGGAAATCAAAAGCTGCTCCAGAGAAACTTGAGTTTATGGGAATGCCAGAGGGCAAGTTAATTTTAAATCTTCACAATAAATTCAATGAAGAGCAGGGGGTGGGGCCAGCTCACAGAGAGTTTGGCTCTGCAAAGGCCTTTTTTGGCCTCCCCCTCCCACTGGGTGCTCAAAGCCAACACCCGGACCCTTACCCAGAAAACCAGCAGGACATTTCCTTCCCGACCCATTATATTTCTAAGGGGGAGGGTCTCCAAGGCACCCTCTCTCAGCCTAGAGACCACAGCCCTAGACACAGGAGGTTTGTTCCCAGACTTTCTCTACCTTTGGATCCCAGATGCCTAGGTGGGAGAGAAGCAGGCCTAAAACTCACCAACAAATTCTGGCGTCCCAAAAATGTTCTTAAATTCAACTCCATCTTCTATTTCATGAGCCAGGCCAAAGTCAATCAGCTTGATGTGTGGAATGGGAATATTCTTGTCTAACAACATAATGTTTTCTGGCTGGAGAACAAAAAAAGAAAAAAAAAAGAAGGAAGGAAAGAAAGGAAGAAAAGACATTAATTAAAGCCCTGTTTTGTGTTTTCACTTTGGGGTTAGGGTGGAGTTTGGTGTTCTTTTTTAGAAGACTCAAACTCTTTCTTGGTTTTGTGTCTTGTCTTTTCCTGTGAACTCAAAAACAGGCACAGCGCTGAGGGCAAGGCCTGGGTTGCACCAAACCTGCTGTTCACAGCAGAAGCGGAGACCTTAACTTTGGTCCCATTTCTTTCTCTTAATGGCAGATCCTTTAATGCAGTACCTCTGTTTCCCGATCTGTTAAATGGGGCCAGGGAAAAACTTGCAGCATTTCCTGTAAACAAAACCACTGCCCCTGTGTGAGGATGGGAGGGGTGGGAGCCTCGCAGTCTAGCCTCGGTTTACACTTGGCTTATTAACCTCTGTCTTCCTGACCACCTCTTTTCCCTGGCTGGCCAGCTTCCTGTTGACAAACTCCCCTCCTCTGGACTGTGTAGCTCACACTTCTCTATGTGTGTAACTAATTTTGGCCCTCTGCAGGACACAGGAAAAAAATGCACCTGATTTCCAGGGAAAATACCAGCTGCCCAGGCTATTCCCAGTGTCACAAACAGCTGTCAGATCGGATGCAACCCTGCGGGTACGTGTCAGTAGGGGGATGGTCCTGCCCTGGCCTCACGCGCCATAGGCTCTCCGTGAGGACAGAACAGGAGCCTACCCTTCTCACTCCCACCCAGCTGCCCAGAGTTCACAGTGGGGGAGCAGGTCGCTCTGCTTCACCAGTCCCATCCCACTCCCCACCATGATAGTCTTAGACTCCATTCCAAGTGGAACGTCCTGAAAACATACATCCGCACCAAAACATCAAATGTCACAGCCGCATATTCATAATAGTCTCAAAGTGAAAACAAGACAAATGTCCATCAACTGGTGAATATGGTATATCCATGTATACTATTCCACCATAAAGAGGAATGAAGGCAAAGAAAAAATAAAAAGGAATGAAGTATTGATATTTCAACACGAATGAATCTTGCAAACATCCCACTCGGGCACCTGGGTGGCTCAGTCCCAGGGTGCTTGGATAGAGTCCCACATCCGGCTCCCTGCTGAGAGGGAGTCTGCTTCTCCTTCTCCCTTTGTCCCTCCCCCCACTTGTGCTATTTCTCTCTCTCTCTGTCAAAGAAAAAAATAAAGTCTTTAAAAAAAGGAAAAGAAAAATTCTTAATGCCAAGTGACACAATCAGTCACAAAAGACCATGCATGGTAGGATTCCACTGATACAAAATACCCTGACTAGGTAAATCCGTAGAAACAGAAAGTGGATTAGTAGTTGCCTGGGACTGGGGGAAAGGGGAGTGACTACTAATGGGTAACAGGACTTTTTTTTTTTTTTTTTTTGAGTGACAAAGATTTTCTAAAATTGATTTCGGTGTTAGTTGTACAACTTTGTAAACTGTACACTTTACATGGGTGAGTGGTAGAGTATGTGACTTATTATCTCGATAAAGCAGTTTTAAATAAATAAAGGTAAATAAATAAATACATGTTTAAGAAAATCAAGTGTCCCTATTTCTCGAAATCCTGAAGAATTTCCCACCTTTGCTCACATTATTTGAGCTACCTAGAAACCCTTCTGCTTGATCTGCCCATCAAAATCCTAGCTGGGCTTCTAAGTCTAACTCAACTCAGCTTGTCTTAAAAGCTTTCCTCAAAGGAAGGAACTGAGTACCGCCCCCCACCCCCGGCCACACACACAGCCCAGAAATGAATTCTCCTCCCCAGTCGCCTTGGTGCTTATTTTAACCTTTTGGTTATGACATTTGTCACACTCTCCTTTGCCCACAGTCCTTGCTGTCACTGTCCTAGCTCCTCTACCGGACCCTCAGCTGGAGGGAGGTTTGGGGTCTTTGCTTGTTGACCCCTGCAGTGCAGAGCACAAGAGACTGGCAGGCTGAGGGTGGTCCTAACTGTTAGCCGAACTGATTCTCAGTCTGGCTGGAAGACAGTCCAGGTGCCACATCCCAAACTTCCTGGCTCCCCAAAGTCTCTGAGACCTCATGTCAGAGTGGCTGGAAACTTTCACTCGAGGAGGCTGGCTGAAGCCTCCCCTGACTTTGAAAATAAATAATACATTCCCTTTTGCTTTTTTTTTTTTTTTTTTAAGCTTGTTTATCCTTTTTCCCCTCTGGAGATTTCTCTCCACTTTATTTTTGAAAATGTGTCAAAGTCCTTTCCCAAGGCAAAGCAGGGTCTTTGGCCCTGCAGAAAGGAGAGTAGGGACAGGGGAGGTCAGGAAATAGGACCCGGACAGATGGCCCCACTCCAGTACCCCCAATATAGCCCTCCAATGGCTGCGCATGGACTCCAAGTGTCCTGGAACCCCATTCAGGGAGCTGTGCCCTCCCCACTGCCCACCATCACCCCGGCGGGTGGGGGCGGGGACTTCTCCTCCCCCCATTCCACCATATTCTTTAATCACATTATTGCTAACTTCCCCTTCTTTCCAGGCAATGGCCCTGAGGCTTGTCTCTGGGACTGAGGGTCAGGGCCCGAGGCTTCCTGATGAACAGTGTGCTCAGGCCGCAGCCCACGCTACATGGGGACGGGAGCTGCAGCGGACAAATGCAGTCATGCCAGACCCCCAGAGATGACCCCCAGAATTATGGAGCAGCAGGAACAGGGTGGGGAACATCACGGAAGAAGGAAGAACCATGTGAGGCTGAATTCTCCCAGGCAGCACTGCTCTGAGAGGTGAGAAGCATCCTTCCCTTATGGCCTCTCACCTCTGCGACCCAAAGTCCGGAGAAACAACCTCTCCACCGGCTTGTGAAAACCTCAGGGCCAGGCCACGTTTTCTCACCCAAGTACTACCTGGCCTCACAAGTTCTTGTCCACCCTGAGAACCTAACACACAGCAGGTGACTTCACCCCCACTTGGAACATTCTTCCTGCACAGTCCCAATCCCCAACCTGCTTTATTTCCTCTTCACATTTCAGTAAAAATAGTCTCTCCTCCAGAAGGCCGACACGTGGGCGCACACATTCCACCCCCCCCGTCCCCATAACACCCCGTGCCTCCCCAATTCTAGCGTCTCTTCCCCCGTCTCAAGGTGACAGCTTACTTCTCTGTCTCCCCACACCGAGCTACAAGCTTCCTGAGAGTTTTGTTCCTCCCCTTGCTACAGAGCCTGGCATCCACCAGGTGCTCAGTAAATGTCCAGGGAGTGAGGACAGCTGTCATTTGGCTGCACTGTGCTAACCAAGCACATGACACACTTTACACCTCATCGAACCCTCCCCCCCCCCATCTTATGCAGTGGATGCCATCATTCCTCGGTTTCAGAAAGAGAAACAAAGACCAAAAGACTGACTTGTGAAGATAAGGCTTAAACCTCTATCTGTTGAACTGCAAAACTTCTATTCCTAACAATAGAGGAAAGGATCTCCCTTCCCTGGGGCTCAAGTGCCCTGGGAATCTCTCCCAGGGAGCAGTGGGAATGCTGCTTGGGCCTGGCAACCTAGGGCAGCCTTGTACCCTGGCACAGCGGGAATGTTCTGCTGGGTGGGCAGGCCCTGGACCCCCGTTCTGCCCTCCATCACTCACACCCTGGCCCATTTGGACCAAATGTACTTTTAGGTTCAGACCTGCCCTGACTGGGAGTAAACAGGAAAATAGCTCCTATATCTGTAGCTCCTCTTGCTTTCGGAAGGGCTTCCTTCTTGCTATCCCAGCCTCCATGAACCCAACCTGATGCCACCCAGGAGGCAAGGCAGGGGCTGACATCTTCTGAACAATTTCCAAGGCAAGCAGCGAACAATAGCTCCACATCATCTTTGCAACCGCTCTCAGGGGTAGGCACTGTCAACATCCCCACTTCACAGATGACGAAACAGAGGCTCAGGGGGCTAAAGCACTGGCCCAAGGTCCAACACCTCATAATGGCAGAGTCTCGGGGTGGGTTTCCCAGGCAGTCCAGGCCCCGCTTGCCACCACATCACCCAATTTGGTTAACTACCTTCAGTGGTCCCACTGACCAGGAGAGAAAGCTCAAATGCCCTGCCTGATATTTGAGGCAATGAGGCTCTGCACTGAGGGTTCCATGCCACCTTCCCAGCCTCATTGCCCCTCATTTCCTTGCACCTGCCCCCTTTCCCCTCCAGGTGGCTACTACCACACCCAGGGAGACAGCTTGGTTCCATCCTTTGCTCGGGCTTTTCCCCTTGCCTGGAATGCCTTTCCTACTCCTCTTCACACTTTCAGGGACTATGCCTCGACCCTGCCTCCTTCTACTGCCTTACTCTTCAATGAAGCGGCCCCTGACCTTGGGCTCTAACCCCCTTGGCGCTGACAATGCTTATGAGCGAGTGGTCCTCAGTTGTAGGCTGTCTCTCATATTGGGACATCGCTGCTCTCCCGGGTGGTGGCCTCCCTGGGAAATTTCAGATCAGTGCTAAGTTTCTTGGCGTCCCCTATGGTATCTTGTGCCCTGCACATGCCCCTGAAATATGCTGACATGCACTGAAAGAAGTGGGAGTTAGCGGTCCTTCTCTTTCTGCCCTGTGGAAGTCCTCCACCACCCTTAGGGGGATGCCCTAGGGCACTCCTCCCCACGGGGCCGCTGTAGGGCTGGGTCAGGAGGGACCATGACTGAGGGAGGATCCCCAAGGGTAGCCTGAGGGCCAGCAAAGCAGCAGCTCCCCCAAGGGCTTTTTCTCAGCTTCTCTGCTTCCCCCTTCCCAAACAGGGTAGGGCACTAGAAAAGATCCCGGGCCTGCGTACTGGGAAATTCCGGGTTCACCTCCACCATACAAGGCCATGTGAACTGAAGCATGCCACTTCCTCTCTCTGGGCCTCAGCACCCCCAGTTCTAAACTAGACGCTGGATGAGATCTAGAGCCCCTTCGAGCTCTAGCCTCTGCAGTTGCAAGGTGGCACAACATCTCGAGCTGGTTGGGCAAATTCCCACTCCTCTGGGCCCCAAGTA